ATCTCTGAGGGAAGAAGGAACCTGGGGGTCCTCAGCCAGATCAGTGAGAAGCAAAGCGATCAGCTTCCCTGCCAGGGCTGCCAGTCCACACTGTGGACTGATTTTTATTACTTGGCTGTGCGGAAGGGCAAAGTTTCTTTCTTTTTCTTTTTTAATCTTCACCAAGGATATGGTTTTTTTGTTTGTTTGTTTTGTTGTATTTATTTTAGAGAGAGAGAGAGAGAAACATTAATGTGAGAGAGAAACATCCATCAGTTGCCTCCCGTACACACCCCAACAGGGTTGGAACCCACAACCTAGGTATGTGCCCTGACTGGGAATCAAACCCACAACCTTTTGGTGTACAGGACGATGCTCCAACCAACTGAGCCACCTGGCCAGGGCAGGGCAAAGCTTCACGACCACATCGTTTTGCAAAGGACTAGCAGAAAAAGAGTACTGATTCCCAGAGAACACACAGAGTTCCCCTCATTGTGTTATCTGTCCCTGCACAGGGTGGGGAGGGCAGGGGAAACATCTGGACAAGGCAAGAGAGTCATAGCACCAGGTGGCAGCAATAATAAATGAGGCAGGCAGCTCCCATCAGAGGAAAGGGACAACCCTCAAGGTCACTGGGGATAGAGGCTCTGCTAAGTTGTGCCTGTCCCTGGCTGCCCACAGGGAGGGGAGAACAGGGCAGAGATGGGGTTCCCACCCAGTGCCAGATACAGGGGAAGAGGAAGCTGCCTTGCCAGCCAAGAGGAGCCGCCCAGTCTGACAGAGGACTCACTTTCTACCCCTCCCCACTCTCCCAGACACTGCTGCTCAAGCGACCTCAAATAAAAACTGCCCCATAACTACGGGAGATGGAGCCTCCCGTGTCCTAATGACTGGCTTCTAAGTACAGCCACACCCTTCCCTGGCAGCTAAAGCGGACTTCCCAGGCAGTCCCACAGGCCTCCGACTCCAGGTCCGAGGCTGGAGCAGGAGCCAAAGAAGCCAGGACCCTTGTGGCCTCAGCTGCTTCCTAAGGGGCAGTCACATCTGGAGAGAAGGCGGTGGGGCCAGGTGCCATCTGCCCACAACAGCCCTGTGCCAGGCAGCTGGAGGCTCAGGGATAGGTGGATCCCCTCAAAGATCACCCCAAGCTTAGGCCAGCAGGCTGTGTTTTCCTTACGGTGCCTCTCTCAGTGCCCCCAAACCCATCCTCCTCAAGAGGTCTCAGGCCAGAAGGCTCTGGTCTCCAACCTAAGTCCTCCTTGCTCACAGGCGTCCTGGAGGCTCCCCATAAAACCAATGGCTCTGTCTGACCAGGGCTCACAGAGCCTCTCAGGGGGCCCCAGTTAGCAGCCTGTCCATGGTCACAACAGTCTTACTCTTTGGGATGAAAAAAGAAAAATTGGTTCAAACCCAAATCAAGCCCACAGCCTCGGCTTTTCCAAGGGGCCAGTCTCTAACCACTGATCCAACAAACCTGAGACGGGGCTCTCTTTCTTTCTTTTTTTTTTTTTCAAGAGAGAGGAAAGGAGAGAAGGAGAGGAGGAGGACAAGAAGAGAGAGAGGGAGAAAGAGAAAGAGAGAGAAACATTGATCGAATGCCTCCTGCACGTGCCCTGACCAGAAATCGGATCTGAAACCTTCAGTGCATAGATGACACTGCAACCCACGGAGCCACACTGGCCAGGGCCGGGACAGGGGCCCTTTAAGGCAGGACCACTCTACTCTACCCAGAGCCCCCCTGGAGTGTATTAGGAAGGGTGCTGAAGGCAAAAGCCAGAAAGGAAATAGTGGGGAAGCATCTCAGGATTTTCAAACCCATGATGATCCCCGTATGGCTTTACTGAGGGGGAAGGGTTATAACCAATTTCCTTGTGTATTATATTAAATTTTGTTTTAAGAATTTCTTTAATTATTTGGCAAGTCTCCAGTGAAATCCCTCACCTCAAAGAGTACCCCACTGACAAAGGATCTTTGGGAGTTGTTGAGGTGCCTTGCACCCCAGCTACCACCATCACCATCATCCCATAAAGCAGGGCCCTGAGAGTAACCCCAACACTAATATGTTAAAAGCTTGCTATGGTTCTGGAACTATATTAAGGCTTTCACGTATGCTGTCTTATTTTATCTGGACAGTCCTGTGATTATTATAATAACCTTTCTAGAAATGAGGAAACAGGTTTAGTAACTTGCCTGCTAGTAAGTCACAGAACTGAGAGCGAAAGCCTAGGCTCCAGGTCTTTAACCCTGTGCGGTCCTGTCTTTCTGAAAAGGCACAGACAGCTCCCAGCAAGACTGCTGGGGAAGAGAGCTGCAGACTGCTCCGAGCCTGGCTTCAGGACGGCAGGCCCCAAGCCAGCCCTCGTTTTCGAACCTCTGGCAGTAAAGATAATGGTGGAGGGCTGCGAAGGGCCAGTACATTTCATCAGCGGTTCTACTCCTGCGTGTACCCTGCCACCCACAGTCTTTCCCAGGCTCTAAGTCCTGTATTGTCTTCCCCCATCACATGACAGGTTCTCCTAGGGCAGGGGATGTCTCCCGGATCAAATTTACCAGCACTGTTACCAAAATCTCCCTCCCCCATCACTGCTGTTCGGTGATCACCAACCATGTCCAGGAATTGCACCAGATACTTTCGTTGTGTCCTCATTTTACTCCTTACATCAATCCTGTGAAGGTGAAAATTAGCCCCATTTCACAGATGAGAAAACTAAGGTACCGAGCGTTTACTTGATTTGCCAGAAGCTGGCAGGTTCGGGACTGGAATCTGGGTTGCGCCATTCCACAGGCCCCTCCTCTTAACCATGAGGCTGCCCTTCCCCTGCCAGCTCCTGTCTTAGCAACACAGGGCTACCATCTGCCCTCCTTGAGAGCCCCACATCTGATTCCTGGAGTTAAAGTGTGATACTGTTCTTTTCCACCACCATCAAAAACTGAGGACAGCATACCCTGGTACTCTCCATCGTGCCCTCTCCCCACTGGGCAATGTGCAGACTCACCGTCTTAGAAGCCCACACCAGAGTGCTCCAGGAAAGTCCACCAGGAGTGGTCATTAGAGCCAAAGGTGGGAGGTGGAGACCAGAGTGGGGGCAGCAGTCCTCACCCTCTGCTGGTGGGCATGCTGTGAGGTCCAGTGTACTAGAAGATTAGGCCAATTTCACAGACTTTTCCTCTGCCCGCCGCAAGGGTCCCTCTCCTCCCAACCCCCTCCAGGTTCTAGAAAGAATCCAAGTCAGTGCATCAGAGGAAAGGCAGTGAGTTGGGTGCAGAAAGATCCTCGTGGAAAGATGACTTCTATAAAGTCACTTATGGCTCCCATTCAGATCAAGGGGTAGGAAGTCAAAGTCTTTAAGGGAAACTGTCCTTGGCTGAAAACAGGCCCACCTGGGCCTACAGGCATAAACAGCTCAGCTGAGGATTATCCACAGCCCAAGAAGGACAGGAACTGGGGGTAAAAAAAAATCAAAGGTCCCTCCCCAAGTCACTGACTTCACAGAAGCCCCTCCCTACAAGGACAGAGACTTTTTGTGTGTTCCTGGAAGTGTCATATACCAGCCTGGTCAGATTGGCTGAGAGGTGGAGGATGAAGAACTAAGACATAAAGGGGCAGAATGAATTTGGGGACAGGAGACTCTTCAGAAAAAAGAAAGAGCTAAGAGATCCAGGAGAGAGCTTTCCGCTCCCTAAGCCAGGAAGGAGGGAGAGGACAGAAAGGGGGAGGAAAAAAACAAAACAAGGGCCAAGCTATACCACATGATCCCACACCCAGGAACCAAATAGCAAGTCATGAGGGAAGGAGAAGAGAAGCCAGGGGAGGGGGACATGGAGTCAGGTCACAGACCTGCAGGGAACCGGCCCTGCTCTTCCCACCCCAGGCCACAAAAAGCCATAAAGGCCCTTCCCTACCCACATTTGGAAAAAATGTTCAAGGTCAGATCCATTTCTATCGAACTCCTGCTTTCATTTGGGTCTACACCAGGCTCATCATTCTCCTCCAACAAGCCTTCCTGCATTTATTCCATTCCACTCAGGCAAACCTTTCCAGCACCTGTCCCCACCTATGGCACACCCCTGCCCTCATCCCCTATCCTCCTCATCCAGGACCCAGGACCCATGAGGCCCAGGGGAATTGTCACCACAGTGGATCACCAGTGGTCCACAGCAGGTTGTCAGCCCTGGGGACTGACCTCCAGATACTGCCCAAGCCCAAAACAGGAAGTGAGACTCCAATTCTGAAACCTTGATCTGCACACAAGGAAGGTTAAACGCTGCCAAAATAAATGATTCTAAAAACCCACTGGCCCTTCTAGGTGGAAATGATTGGGAGATTATCTCCTGCAGTGCATTAACCACCCTGCTGTTTCCACCTCAGGCAGGACAGGCAGGAGCTTGAAGGCTGATTAAAGTGTTGCCTCCCTTTACTTAGAGGTACTCTTGTTCTTGGACCACGGACACAGGGGGACAGAGTGCGGCACAGGGCATCCCAGTTCCAAACCAGAAGCAGATGCTCTGGCAGTCTCTAGGTCTGGTGGGGCACCTCGGTTCAATCTCACCCTCCAGGACAACTCGGCACCTTCCTTCCCCCACAGGGTGAGGCAGCAGCTCTCCACTACCCTGAGGGCCTGGCTCGGGTCAGGCGCCTGCAGTTCCCCTCCTCTTCCAGGAAAGGGAGACAAGGCCGGAGGCCCTAAGAATGGCCTTAAGATTTTCCTTCTAGAGGTTCCTATAGTCCAAGAGCCTCTGGATCCCACTCCTAACGTTACCTGACAATTTACTCCTAACTCTGGGCCACCATTCACACCTCCCAGGCCTTCCAAGGCCCACCAGCGGCCGAGCACAGCATCGCGCACGTTTTGGAATGGGAAGGGGACCCCAAAATGTTTAGACCCAGCTTGTCGGTTTATGCTTTTGAGCGCGAGGCAAAGGGCGTAACCGCCCCCGTCCAAGGTTCGGGGTCCTGCTCTCTCACCAGCCCCGCCCTGAGAGGCCTTTAACCATTTGCGCTCCCCGCGCCCCTCACTCACTGTGTGTGCTGGGCGCGGCCTGCGCCGAAGACCTCGTCCAGCGCCACCCTGGCCTGGCCCAGGAACTTGTCGACGCCGATGAGCGAGCGGTGCATGGTGGTGAGCACCAGCTCGCAGGCGGCGGCGGAGCCCGCGGCCCAGGGCGCCGGGCCCGCATCGGCCTCCTGCGCCCGCAGCAGGCCGTCCAGGGCGCCGGGCGGCAGCTCGAAGGAGCACTCCTCGCGCCACTCGGGGCAGCCCGGGGTCTTCTCCACCACCGACGTGCTGTACTTCTCGCGGCCCACCTGGATCACTGTGTACGCGTCGCTAGTGCTGCCCGCGCCCGAGCTCTTGCCCCGCAGCCCGCGGGCCCGCAGCACGGTCACCTGGACGTGCGTGGGGAGCCAGCGAGAAGGCCCCGCCGCCGACTCGGCGCCCCCCACCAGGGCCATGGCAGAAGAAGAGGCGGCGGGCTAGGGCTGGCCCAACCCGGCGGAAGCACCGGGACCAAATGATAAACTGGGCAGCGGCGGAGGGCTGTCAAGAGCCGGCTCAGAGAACCGCCGCTGCAGCAGCGGGCTGGGCTGAGCCGAAAGGGCCGCCGCCTCCCGCCGCCCCCCGCCGCCCCACCTCCCCGGCCGCCTGCTGCTCCGCGATGTCAGAGCCCCGCCGTCAGCGCCCCGCCCCGCGGCCCGTGACCCAGCCCCGCGCGGCAGTGCGGCAGTGCTGCGGCCGCACTGGCCCCCGCGCCCTTGCTCAGGCCGCCGCAGACCCGCGCGGAGCTGGAGCAGCGGCGGTGCGGAGGCCTCTGCAGAGGGGTGGGCGGGTCTCCCGGTGGGCGGGTCTCCCTCGTTGGCCCCGCCCCGGACTGGGAGTACTGACTAAACTCCGCCTGCCTAAGGGCCAGCACGACACCCTTGGCCGGTTCTGAAATGCCCGCTTAGTGTCTCCCGGCCAATCCCAATCTTCCCTCAGTATGTCCCTTCTCTCGCCCCAAAACTGCCCCGGCCAGCCCTTCTGTGGACGGCTGTCCGCTTGGCGGGGGCTTGCGGGGATGATGCGAGACCCTGCTGCCCTCCTCATCTCGAGCGGAGCTCCCCCTCCTCCAGCCCGCCTTTGCCTGCGTGAAACCAGAAGCGATTCCCACTTCGCCACGTGACGGCCCCCGCATCAGTGACCCGGGAGCAGGTGAGCTGCCTCTGCCTTCAACCTCCAAGCGGGAGGGGACCACGGATGCGAGGAGACAGCGACGCGGAAGGCCAGAGAGCCAGGCTCGCCCTCAGCGGACACTGCAGAGAGAGCAGAGTGATGAATAAATGAGTAACCACATCAATATTTAAGGGTTCACTTGGAGGGATGGAGCTCAGGCGTCACGAGTTGGGAGAAATTATAGCCTCTAGTGGGGGTTTTAAACTATAACTTCCACCCGTTGAGTGCCTACTATGTGCAAAACCCTGGGTATTACTTGCGCGCTTGACTTATTATTAATAGTAATAACAGTGGTTAATAATTATAGATGCTGAATTTCTGCCAGTACTAGTTTGTGCTCTTTACATGCATTACCTCATTTTATCCTGGGAGTAACTATGTGGGTTAGTATGGTTTTTATCCCTGTTTTTCAGAAGATAAGATTGCAATTATGCTGCCCAAGATCCTTAACTGGCAGAGGTAGGATTTGAATTTACACAGATGACCCCAAAGCCTGTACTGTGTTTTGTCGTTGTTTTGTTTTGTGTTTTTACTTTCAGAGCCTGTACATTTTTTAAAAAGTAATGCAACACACACAGCTTTTTAAAAAAATAAAATACGACAGAAGTGCTTATGATGAAAAGCAAAAACTCCCTCTCCACCCCTGCAATCAGGGATAACCACTTATAGCCATTTGTGTTTGTAGGCCTCGTGATTACCTCCATATCTATATAAAATGCATATATAGCTATATTTGGATTTATCAGGACTGACCACTATCTATTGTCTTACTGCTATGATAGATAATAATTTAGCTCACTCACACCCATTTCCCTTCCTCAGTCTTCTATAGTTAAGCTATTATTTTAGTTCCTCTCCTGGATACCTTTATACTGGAAACCTTTGTTTCTTCTTGGGGAGACCCTCCACAGTACTGCTTGACTTCTATGCTGTGAGAGGAGGATGCCAAAATCCTCACTCTCAGGCCATGTCCTCCACCAGGAATATGGATGTGGGAAACCAGTACAGAAGACCCGTGGGAGCACAGCTGCCACAGGCCCAGTCCTGACAACCTTCCACCTTAACTATGATCATATGACTGGGGTGGGGGAGTCCTTCCCATTGAGCCCCATGGTCCAGAATCCCAGTGGACAGCACCTAGCTTTGGAGACAGTGAGATCTGCATATGGATCTTGGCTCTCTACCGCTTAGCAGGAATGAGACCTGAAGTTTAAGCCAGCCCTCTAGCCTCTCTCAACCTCATTTCCTCCTCTAGAAAATGGAGATAATGGTTCCTACTTCATGCAGTTGCTGAGAAGATGACATGAGAAAATGTTGCCAAAATGATAATGCAGTAGAGACCATCACAAATGATCTCCAGGCATCTGCACATCATATACAGCCTTTTTCCCAATTATAAAAGTAATTTGGAAAATACAGAAAAATATAAAGAAAATAAAAATAAATCATAAATTCACTATCCAGAAATAAACACTGCTGACAAATTGTTGTATTTCTTTCCAGTCTTTTCTCTACATTATATGTTGTTGTTTTATCTGTATTATGGTTGTGAGGCAAGCGTAGTATAATGGCTAAAACCTGTGGGCTTTGGCATCTTGGTTCTACCATTTATGTGTATTATCTCATTTATTCCAAAAGACAACCACTTAAGGTAGGTGCTATTGCTACCCTCAGTTTTACCAATGAGGAAACTGAAGCAGAGAGAGGTTGAGTGATTTTCCCCAAATCTCCAACTGGAAAATTGCAGAGATTGGACTTGAACTCAGGCCTGAGTGACTCTACCGCCCTTGGTAATCTGCCCCACACTAGGTTGCTGGTCATCTAACCACTACATCCATGTGAAGCTGATAAAGCAGGAAGTGTTGTCATATCCATTTTACAGATGAAGAAACTGAGGTAAAAAAGGGTATCAGCCCTGGCCTGTGTGGATCAGTGGTTAAAGCGTTGGCTTGCATCCCAAATGTCTCAGGTTTGATTCCTGGTCAAGGGCACTTACCTGGGTTGCAGATTTAACCCTGGGCCCTCACCAGAGCATCTCTCTCTCTCCCCTGCCTCCCTCCCCCTCCCTCCCTTCTACTCTCTAAAAATCAATGGAAAATGCCCTGGCCGGTTTGGCTCAGCGGTTAGAGCGTTGGCCTGCGGTCCGGAGAGACCCGGGTTCGGTTCCCGCTAAGGGCATGTACCTCGGTTGCAGTTTGTCCCCGGCCCTGGTTGGTCGTGCGGGTGGCAGCCACTCGATGTGTCCCTTTCACGTCGATGTTTCTCTCTCTCTCTCTTCCTCTCTCCCCCTCCCACTCTATCTGTACAAAAAAAAATGGAAAAATGTCCCCGGGTGAGGATAAAAAAAAAAAAATTAAAAATCAATGGAAAAATATCTTCTGGTGAGGATTAACAAAAAATAAAATAAAATAAAATAAAGGTAACAGATATACCTGAGGTCACAGAGTCAGGATAAAGCCCCCCCGCTCCTCCCACACACACACTTTAAGAATGGTTTCCCTAAGGACTTTGTAAATGAAGGTATCTATGCCAAACTAACATGTATTTGTCACTCTCTTTTAAAGGTTCTGTTTCATCTGTTTCCTAGCTCTCCAAAACGACTGGACTGCCTTCTCCTGCCTACCTCCCTCCCCATCCTCCATGGAACAGCAAGGCTGAAGGAAAGGGCAAAGAGATCTCAGATGGGCTACTCCCACTCTCCTTCCTCCACGCTTGCAGTTTGGCAAGCTCAGGCTTCCTGCTGGGAGGGAAGTGAAACCGGACAGGGCTACCCTGCTCATCACTTGGCACAGGAGGAAAAGGAGGGGTCTGCTAGCTGTCTTCAGTGGAGAATGGAGCAGAAACTCCCAAGACACTGATTTGGCCACCTAGAGGTGTATTTCAGTCTCTAGAACATGAGACTTCCAACACCCCTACCCTCCTGCAGCCTGCTGGGAGGGTTAGAGGACATCCATCCTCCTTCCTCTGTCTCCCCTGGGTGTGCTCATGCCTACATGGACTTCTCTAGTCCATTGGGACAGTTCTTGCTTTAAAAAAAAATGGTCCTTGCCCTGGCCATTTTGGCTCAGCAGTTAGAACATCAGCCCGTGGACCAGAGAATCCCGGGTTCGGTTCCCGCTAAGGGCACGTACCTCAGTTGCAGTTTGTCCCCGGGCCCAGTTGGGATTATGTGGGTGGCAACGAGTCAGTGTGTCTCTCTCACATCAATGTTTCTCTCTCTCTCTTCCTCCCTCTCTCCCTCCTGCTCTATCTGAAGATAAATGCAAAAATGTCCTCAGGTAAGGATTAAATAAATAAATAAATAAATAAATAAATAAATAAATAAATAATAAAAGAATGGTCCTTTATGTAATTTCCATTCATTGCTTCCCTCTGCAATACCATGTTGGTCCTTCCATATAGGCACTTGAAATATATTTGCCTGGCTCTTCAAGCTACATTCTCCCATGTTCTTCACCTCTCCTTCCTGGCCTCATCATATTGAGTCACACAGCCCGGGTTCAAGTCCTGGTGTCAACACTTACTATTGGTATAAGCTTGGAGGAATTACTGAAGCCCACTGAGTCTCAGTTTCCATATCTAGAAAATAGGCTTAATAATAGGAAATCACCTCTTAGCGTTAGTATGAGAGCTATCTCAATACATCCTAAAGAGTAATGAATATTATCATCTTAGAAATCTTTGCTGAGCCCGGCCAGTGTGGCTCAGTGGTTGAGTGTCAAGAGGTCACCAGTTCAATTCCCGGTCAGGGCACATGCCCAGGTTGTTGGCCAAATCCCTAGTGGGGGGCATGCAGGAGGCAGCCAATCCATGTTCTCTCATGGATGTTTCCATCTCTCTCTCCCTTCCTCTCTCTCTAAAAATCAATAAAGAAAAAAATTTTCTTAAAGAAATCTTTGCTGAAAGCAAAGGTTGTACCTCCTTGTTTCATTTGCATTTCTTTGATTGCCAGTGGGGAGATTGAATATATTTTTCCAGTTATTAGACTTTCCTCTTTTATTGTTTCCTCTTTTAATGAATTGTCTATTTTCTGAATGGTATGTGTTCTATGCCTGTTTTTCTTTGAAGCCTTAATTTCTTACTAATTTACATTAACCCTTTATATGTTAAAAATATGCCCTAGCATCCAGCTGGTGTGGCTGAGTGGTTGAGCGTCGACCCATGCACCAAAAGGTCGCTGGTTCGATTCCTGGTCAGGGCACATGCCCAGGTTGTGGGCCCAATCCCCAGTGGGGGGCATGCAGGAGGCGGCCAATCAATGTTCTCTCTCATCGATGTTTCTATCTCTCTCTCCCTCTCCTTTTCTCTCTCTCTAAATTCAACAAAGAAAAAACCTTTTTTAAAGAATAGACATATA